GAACAAATCTGGCCCCACAAAACACGACAACTACAAAACACCAGAACAACGCACCGATTCCCGCGCCGCACTTTTCCAAAACCGTCCTCGTCAACGGCTGCAAATGACTGGGCGTCCTCGGCCACCCGCGCTGCGGCTGGAGGCCCGCTGGGCTGCGAAGCCGCCTGCGGGTGCGCGCCGGGCGGCAAGAGCAAGAAGCCCTCGGCGGACGGCCTGAGTGGCGAGGCACGCGGGCTGGGCACGCGGTCGGGCGGCATGGTCGATGCGGGCCCGCTGTCATCATAACTGGCGCCAGCTGCGAGGGGGGGGGCCGTCTTGGGGTCGCGCTCGGGCGCGGACTCGCAGGGGCGCGAGTCGGAGTCCACGCGCCAAGCAGCACCGTCCGAACATGCTGCGCCACCCGCCGAGCCTGCTGAGGTCGCCCGTGCCGCGCCAGGCTCCGAGCCTGCTGAGGTGGCCCCTGCCGCGCCAGCCCCCGCCGATGCAGGATCGGGGCTGTCGGGGGTCTCGATCGTCTGAACGCCGCCGCTATCCCGGGAGTGGGCGGCGTGGGGGTTAGGAGGGGCGTCGGCGTGCCTCCCCGTGCGCTCGGCCTCCTCGAGAATCGCCTGGATGGCCTTCGCGGTGTCCTGCTCCTTGGTCGAGGCCTTGGCCTGCTCCATTGGCTCGGGGGCCGAGTCCCACTGCGCCCCGTCGTCGCCGCCGCCTTCGCGGAGCGTGGACTCGAGATCGGGCTGCCTGCCAATGTATCGCGAGGAACGAGGGTCATCCGAGTCGAAGACGCAGCTGGCTAGGGGTTCGTCGGGCTCTGGCGTCGGGGGCGCCGCCGGGCGCAACGGGCTGGACGTCTTGCCCGTGAGTCGGCGCCTCTGGCCCGGCCCTCGAGGCGGGGCCATCGCTGCAGAGCTCGGCGGTGAAAACGGCTGCGTGGAGGGCGGGATAGGCTGAGGTGGCAAACCTGATCGACCTCCCGCGGCCGACGCAGGCGCGTGAAAGGACTGCGACGTAGTCGCGTAAGAACTCTGATGTAGGTAGGCGTGTGAAAAGACCTCCCGCAAACAAAGATATAACAATAATCCAGCGTCTCTGCATCCTCTACGCGCAAGGATAAAAATAATCCAGCGTCTCTGCAGCCTCTACACGTATGGACGCACGCCTCACCCCTAGGAGTGCGACACGGTTTGGCTATTACGGGTGGAAGTAGCTAATCTATTAGAAGTATGTAACTACGTGTTGATATATGCTAGTCGTTCAAGGCTAGATCCCTTTTTTGTTGGATGCATATGCTTCAGATCCCGATGGATGATGATATATATATAGAAGACGTACGTGTTGCACATAGCAGATCCCGTTTCGGGATCTAGGGGTCCTCTGGGAGCCACAAAAACGGCCCAGATCACAGCTG